TGAAATGACAACTAAAGCACCGGATGTGAAAGGATAGGACGTGGCAAATGACCCATGAAATGAGTCTTTGAAAGAACAACATTTGGGGATATGAATCCGATATGAAGCAGTATGGTAGTGTCCCCAAACTCGGGGATTTTGAAGATCTGCGTTGCAGAAGCAATGCCTGCAGCTCCAGGTGTCAAGATCAAAAGGTGGGCTGAAACTCACCCGGCTCTCTACCTCCTTGCGATGAGAAGACTGGATCCCGACAGGAATTTTTCAGGAGGCAGCAGTGCCAGGAATCTTCTGGTTGGGGGTATCAGCACGATGCTCCATGGCTTCCCCCGCATGATAGTCTTGTGGATAGCAGGAGTAGTTGTTTAATTACCTAGATCAGCTCCTTCGGGAGCTTTCTGCACATGTTTTTTGATCCCAGAATTCGATGATGTAAGCTTCAGCAGTCCGCGCTGGTCTCGGCAACAAAGTGTGCTGAGTTGAAATTGAAGGAAATCTGATGCACGTTGCTCGCACCAATTCATCCGGTTCCCTGCCCCAAAGGCTACCAGGCAGAAATCTTGAAGGAGATGGTGTTCTCTGAGTGTTTTCCATGGTTTTCTGACCAATTGCAGAAGGTTCCAGAGTTGTAAAGCACCACTAGATGTGGCGCAGAGCCCTGGGGGACATGGAGCAGCAGCGGCCAAAGTAGACACTGGGAGACTGGGAGTGGCAACGGGTCCAGGAGAAAGCGGTCCTCCCCATCGGTATTCGAGATAATCAAGAGGAGACCCACAGCGATGGGGATATGTCATCAACAACTTTGTGCTCAGGTGCTTATATGACCATGCTAGGAGTGCACAACAAGCGGCAAGACTGGCCGGATCCTCAGTGGTGAAACCTTTACAGTCTTTAGCTTGACATGGTTGCCATCCACATCAAACCCATACAGTGCAAGCCTATTCAAACCAACGGAGAAAGGATTTGCCAACAGGGGGTCTTGGGCACGTGATAGGCGAAGCGCTCTAGCGGTGATCAGAGATATGAAAGCGCGAGGTGTCTGGTTGAGTTCGAGGGTTGCTTTCAGCTTGGCAGCATAGAACTTGGACCAAGTGTCGGAGACAATGCATCTTTCACCTGTTTACCCCTGATTTACCAGTCATTTACAGCGTATCACTCATTTCGGACAGCTTCCATTGAAGACTTTGATTTACCTTGAATGTTCATCCATACTCTCATGGCACCAGAAATGTCAACACCTCTTCTCCGGATGTTTCCGCTTGGGATTGAACCTAGAAAAGCATGTGGCTATGGGTCAAAATTCTGAATCCCAAAAAGGACGGTTTAACATGTTCACCATGGTTGAAGATGTTGAAGACAGACTAATGTGGGTCAAAAATTATCAAGTCCCAAGTCTCAACAAAGAAATATTGACCCATATATATATATATATCATTGGAACTTGGCACTTTGAGATTAGAACCCACTATTGTCAATTGCTCATTGGTACTCCAAGCTTGACCCATGGCCATGTCAGGAGTCACCTTGGACAGTTTGGCGCTGAATGTGGCCTTGTCCACAGGCGTGGCAGCAGACAAGGCGCGCGTTTAACGAAACGCGGGGCTGCGGTGGGAGCCGCAGGTGCAGCCCTGTCAGTCTGTTATGTTACATGGTGACCATATGGTAATTATATGTAATTATATACACCAACTTTTGGAAATATATGGTAATTGTGTGGTAACTATATATGCTATGTATATGATAAATATGCAATGAATGGTGTTCTGCATCATGGTTTGTGATGGTTCGTTCTGACCCATGGCCATGGCTCACAATTCACCATCCGTTTTGGGGATGGTCAAACGGTCGACTCACACGATCAATGCGTGTCCATTGGTAGCCAATTTTGTCACGGGGAACACCGGAGTTCTTTGATGATTTACTGCTCGAAAATGAGGATTTCTCATTGCTAGAGTACATTTCGGGGCATAGATCATGCTGGTGGATTCGTGAAGTATCACCAACCAGCCACCTACCTGCACAGGTGGAAGAGGTGTTGGAGCTCTTGGCAGAGGCTGTGTGGAGGGATGGGTGTGGATTCCTCTTCAAGAGTTTGTCACCAGCTGCATCTGGCTGCCGGGAGACGACTTATGTTTTTGTTCCTCTAGGCACTTTGTGGGAAATCAGCCTTGGTTCAGAATACTTGCCTCGAGTTGATGCTGGAATGGTCTCCCCACCTTGACCAGTTGCGTGAATCTTCAGAGATGACTGGATCTTTTTGATCACTCCGAGGCGGAGCAGATGGAGAAGTGTGTTCCAGATGTTCCAGCCCTCAGTTGACTCAGTCGCGCAGCTCTCCCATGTTCGTTTCGGACCCTTGGATTTTTCCCACCCCTGACCGTTCTGGGCGCCAGAGACAGCCAGAGACAGAGATGTTTCGGTCGCAGCCGAGGTTGTCTCCTACAATACTCTCATCAAAGCCTTTGCCCAGCGAGCGAACTATGCGGGTGCGTGTGAGGCCTGACGATTCTGGGTGCTGTGCCAGCCATGCAAGGCAGGCTATGCACATTCCCATCATATTGCATAAGGTGCATCTTTAAAAGGCTTGCTGATTCCTAAACGGTTGGGGTTGCACCATGTCAGACCTTGGCGCCACTTCCTTTTTCCCATGTCATCCCCTTCCCATCCGGCCCATCCCAGGTATTGGATCGGATGCAGCAGAGGAAGAAATACCCCAATGCGATTACATTCAATACGGCCAGCACCTCAAACCCAGTGCGGTCAGACCAGTGCGGTCAGACCCGTAGTTCATCGTAGTTCCTTCAATGGCGAGCGGCCAGAAGTTGCTGCCTCTCCCAATCTGGTGACATCTGGTGACCATTATTGGATCGCTATGGATCCACCCCAACATTGGCCTGTCCAGTTGCAACCATCACCTTCTCATCAACATTGCCATTCTGCAGTTTATACATGTGGGTCTGCCCCATTTTCAGATCGTGACTTCGCTAATCAGGTGATGGATGCGGCCGTGCGCGCAGGGAAACCCCAGGAGGCTTGGACCCGCCTTCAGGACCGCAGGATTTCCAGGGGATCACAGGGAATGTCCCCAACTTCAGCGATCCTCGGATGCAGGAGATGCGGAAGCGTGGCTTCAAGCCTGACAAGTTTACATGTTCCATTTTGGCTGGAAGCTTATGGGAAGGATCAAAGCCACTGTGCGGAACGGGGTAAGATGTGCGTCATTTTGAAGCTGGAAGAGATCCCAAACATATCTGCATGGCTCAAAATAGACCTGAAAAAGGATGCTTTTTTGCATGCAACAACTCTCAACCCATTCTTTTTGAGACTATAATTTGAGCCATACCCAGGGCGGACATTCCAGATGTTGTGAACCTGGATTTCATCACCAATGCCTAGGTCAAGGCCTTCTGCAAAGCTGGCCAGTTGATCACTGAGGCGCAAGTGCAATGTGTTGAAAGTAGGAGGAAGGGATAATACTTGTATCTACACGCCATGCTATGAATATAGATTCCGAATGATTCCGAATAATTCGAGTCCTTACTCGTGAATCCCTTGTCACCAAAAAAAAATTGGGATTTGGAACGGGACAATTTCCATAAACATTTGGATATGATGCCCTCCAAAACCAGCAAGCCTATTGGATATGGCGACAGATCACAATGATGGCGCCTCCCAAAGGTGACCCTTCCAGTGATGTTTTGGGATGTTTCTCCAGGGCTTCTCAACCAACAACAACAGATACTATTGGGTGAATCTTCACTGCTATTGGGGGGTTCAACTTTTGAGCATTTTTGGGGTTCATCCCATTGATATCTGTTCCAGTTTCATCTCCATGAAAAGATTGGTTTTTATACCCATATTTCTGCTGCTTAAATCTCCATCCATAGCCATTTGAAGGTTGATAAACCATTATTCAGCACTTATTAACCCTCATTAATACATGTTAGCCATCAGTAAATATTATAAAACATTATAAAACACTCATGAACTGATATGGGTTAGTGAACCAATATTGGTTAATCACATCATAATTAACGACCATTAACAGTCATTCTCGACAGGACCATTATTAACAGGTATTCACCATTCTCAACAGGTATCAACCATGGTAAACAGGTATTAAGCATGAATACCCTCTGGTAAACTGACATAACTATGGAAAGATCCACCATTTTCAATGGGTAAATCCACGATTTCGACTGGGCCATTTTCAATAGCAAACTGTTGGTCATTACCAGAGGGTAAACATCCATAAATCACCATATATGTCCTATATTTTTCCACTAAATCACCAGATTTTCCATATGTTTCCGTTGGTTAAGCACCATTCTGAGGGTAACCACCATTTTCCTATGGGTTTTCCTATGGTTTTCCCAGTAAAACCTCCATTTTCCGTTGGTTAACCACCATTAAAGCACTCATTCACCAACGGCCCCAGGAGTCCGTGGACCGAGCCCTGGCCTTGTTGGACGAGGCCAACGACTGCCCGGGGGCCTATATATTATGATATGATATGTATATAATTGTGTGTATGATTATATATATGATATGATATATATATATATGTATGATATATGATAAATAAAATGATTGATATGACGCGTATATCTATCTATCTATCTAATCTTAATCCTAATCTAATCTAAATCTAATCTAATCTAATCTAATCTAATCTAATCTACCTATCTACCTATCTACCTATCTACCTATCTACCTATCTACCTATCTACCTATCTACCTACCTACCTACCTAGCTATCTATCTATCTATCTATCTATCTATCTATCTATCTATCTATCTATCTATCTATCTATCTATCTATCTATCTATCTATCTATCTATGCCAGGACATGATATAAATACATAACTAATTAAATAGATAAATAAATAGATATACATAGTATATATAAATATAGAATTGTGTATATGATTACATATATGTAATGATTGACATGATGTGTTTAACTGTATGACTATATATTTAATATGAATATATTGTATGCTATCATACGAATCACACGATATCATGTCCCACATCATCTCCAGCATCTACGGCATGTCAGATGACCATGTGGACCGAGGCCTTGACGCGACTCTAAAAACAACGCTCTACAACAACGCCAGCCGCCCCAGTGGCCCCAGCGGCCCCAGCTTGAAAAGTTCCTCATGGTGTAGCGATGGGTGATCATTTGACATCACTGAACCTTGATTCAACAGTGATTTGCTGAATGGAACTATAGTACTGTAACTATTGATTCAGATAGATCCTATAGATGTTGATGTTGGTAACCATGAATGGTTGTGGCTTTTGTGGAAAGACATGCAGACTTGAATCATCCTCAACATTGAACCCTTCCGTTTCATGAGGTGCTGGACATCACAACCAAGGCTCCGGCAGTGGGACCTGAGGGCCCAGTCACAACACCATTGCCCACCGGAATGTCCATCGCCACAGGCCAACTTGAACGCATCAATCCTGAACATCATGCAGCAGATGCGTGTCCGAGCAAGGAACTCAGTCTGTGGCAATGATGAGAGATATCAGAGAGATCTCAATTTGGTGACTAGAGATTCGCATTTTTTTTCGCAAACAAAAAGTGTCCGAACTGCTGGTTGAATTCCCTTCGGCACCCAGGGAGTGAAGTGATGCTGGAAAGAGTGCGGGGTGCCCAAGACAGGAGTCTGAGACACTGTGGGTTATGCTGCAGATTCCATATGGCGTCCCTATGCGTGTGGCGTACAGTTATGTCTTCGAACTCACAATGCGCTGCTTGTTGGGTGATGATCAATATGCAAGCTAATGCCAAATGTAGATAACTGTGGACTTAAACAAGACATGTCTTTGTAGCATGTTCCTTCACCATCAATTGTGTTTGAGGTAGCTCTCAAGGAGGTGCCCAACAGTGAGTGGTGCGAACCCTGAGCGCATGTAGCACGCATGCATTCCGTAGAAAAGGATGGGCAGGTGCTGGAACGATTCATTGCGGGGTTCTTGTGGGTTTGGCCGCTGGATCGGCTAGATGCCCAGTCCAGGTCATTTAGTACTCCGAATTGGTCCTGCCTTAAGAACTTTCCGAGATCCAACTGCACGACGTTTCTCAGCCTCTAGAATCATGCACGCGGACACAACCAGCATAGATTTCGCAGATTTTCACGGCCCATCTTAAGCGGGAGACGTTGAACGGGACACATCACCCAAACTGGGATTGGCCCAAAACTGACCCGGTTTTGCAAGTTTTGCATTAACGCACTCACAGACATCCGCAGACCACAGTCCTGCACACTGCCTAAGACGCCAGTTCTGTGTACTGTGCCATGTTGGCTTACTTGGGTCGACTGAGCAAAGTGGCCGGCGCATGTGTCACGCCGACATGGCTCGGGCGGTTTAGTGAAAACATGTGAAAACTATGGGGATGGCAGAGGTTGATTTTCCATAAATTTCCATAATACACATGGCAAAGTGTGAGTCCAGAATCCTGATGCTATCCATCTCTGACACCCACTGGGCCCATGGCCATCATGTCAGATCCCCAGGTGCTGGTGGCGTGGTGTTGTATGACGCCAGCAACCGAGACTGGTCGGTGCAACACACTAAGTGGACGGCTGCCAAGCAGTTGCTCGGCATCGATGGGTGTGGATTTTAATGTTACAGCCCCAGGTATCTCAAGGAAGGCCCAAGTGGCTTGACATCTGCGGATTCTCCGATTTTCCCAGGTATGTCCTAATCTTCCTTCTAAAACTCCTGGGCCGGCGGCAGCTGAAGCAGCTCTGTCGCGATGCGCAGAGAGGAGATGAGGCCGTTCAGCTGTATCCATTTGCACGGAGAACACAAACCTATGATCTCAGATATCTCAGTGGTCAAGATGGACTTCCAGTTGTACAACGATACAGAATGATTCCTCGCATGTCCGGGTCATCATGTCATGGTTCCGGTGAAGAGAAGCAGGTGCAGAAGCAGCTGTTGGCCGAAATCCTTCGAAGGCATCAGGATAGCCCATACGCCTTCCAAAACGGACTGCAAGGACACCCCGGGGTTCCCCCCCACACTTTGCAGCAGAATGGTAGGGGAAATGGGCTTTTGGCATCTGGTGGAGGGAGATGACGATCCATTGAAATTCAAGGTGATAGTGCTATGAAGAGCAGTCAATCTGAATCTATCTGATCATTCTAGATGCCTTTAGGACAGCCTCGAAGCGAAATATATTCCAGTCCTCCAATTTGAGCATGGACTCCGTCTGCCAAGCTGTGAACTTCAAGTTGTGGGTCCCTCACCATAGCTCTGCTTTAGAGGAGTGGCCACTTACGACATCTTCCGCGAGAGCCATCCCTTGACCGAGCCTACCGATGCCCTTGAGACGAAAGGCTTGGGCAAGGAGCTGGGCACAAAAGAGGCGCGGTCCCAGATTCAGAGATGGACCTGCCAACCTTAAGGCTAAGTGAGCATTATCCAACCCCCCCGGTTGCTTGATGAGTACTTCGGGGATTATAATGCCCAAATATACCCAATATATTGGGAATATTGGGAATATTGTCAACGAGAATCCATTCAATCCCTCTTAATCAACCAGTAAATTCCTAACTGTGCCCACTGGAGGTCTCGAAGCTGTTCCTTCAGAGAGGTTTCCTGCCCGCCTTTGCTGTGCTCAGCTATACCTTCCCCAGCATCGAGGAGGACGGATCTTCAGCAGCATCCAACACCAGGTAGGATGACTTGCTTTGTAGATCATACAATCAAAAACTCTGGAAGGTTGCTTCTAAATGTTCATTATCCAATTGAGGATTCTTAAACCTATCATATCAACGCCTTACTTTTTCATCCTGCCATATCCTGCCTCAAATACTATACATCTCATATCCATTCATCCATTCATATCATGTATCCATGATGGATAGGTTTCTCCACCACAGATATATGATATCCATATCCATATTATGTATCCAAATTGTGGTATGTATCCATACATAATATTATGTATCCATCGAATCATCCCCCTAAGCCTTGCAGGAGCTGCAAAGGCTCACGGTGCTCCCCTCCGGCCCTGACCAGCGCCTGGCCACCGCCCTCTTCGGAGCGTCCCTCAAGGATCGGCTGCGATGGCTGGGGAGCTTCCTGTGCACCAGCCCAATGGCGGCGTATGATCTCAAAACGGAGGACAGATCTGGGGAAGGGGTAAACCTTGAAGATAGATGTAGATTGTAGATGAAGTAATGAAATATGATGGGTACTGTATAGGGTCAACAAAGATCAACAAAGGGGGTTTAGCATGTTTTGGCAACAGCTGCGATTGCTTTTTTTTTTCCCCAGGGTATGGAGGACTATGTAAGACGCAAATGTCCCCTGAATCATGGTGACATGAACTCAAACAGTGGCAATGACTCTTTTGCATTTCGAGGAAGGTGCTACGCCTAAGTGGCTGAGGTTTGGTTGGGTGTTTGTCCATGTCATTGATCAGCTGACAAACTCTGCTCAGGCAGACAGGCGCTACGCGCATACCCTGTTCTCTTTGAAAGATAGAAGCCTCAATATGATCCAGGCTGGTGGGGATGAGCTGCGGTCTGACATGTAACCAGACGTCCTGGGGAAGACCAGGTCATAAGAAACCTAAGACCACGGGCTCTTTGGATCAAACAGTCGGATTCCCCACTATCGCTATATTCAACACGTACTGAGCCTCAAAAATGGACCTTCCAATGGTGGCAGCTGACTAGACCAGTGCTCCAGGCCAGTTCTGCAAAGTTGGTCTACGACACGCTGATGAAAACTGCCTCGGACCATCGCCGGCACCTGGTACAGGACCTGCGAAATGGAGCCTTGGCTGAGCTGGTCTTGGCGATGTGGAAGGAGTGGAATGAACCACTCAGTGGGCTGAGTGTTTGTGATTTATTGGATGGGAATAGATGGCAATAGTAGTTTGATATCTCGGTTGAACTATTTTGTCCGTTGATTCAAGACTATTTCTCCAGTATATATTACTACCAAGTTTTTTTACCTGTACTATACTATTGAATTGTTTATGTTTCTATGAGCATGATTCTTATTGTTATTTGTTCAAAGTCATTCTATTGGTTGGTGAATAACGATCAATGGTGAATCCTGCCATCATTAAATCATCTCAAATCCATGAATTTTCCCCACGTTTTCCTATGTTTTCACAGGTTTTTTGGTTGGTTCATTGGTTGCTCCCAGATTTCCCACCGGTTGGGATCCCTGTTGCCCCGTTGCAGGCCACCTCTGGGACCGGCGTCTGCCCGAGGAGGTGCCGCAGCCGGAGCTGCGCGCGGCGCTGGATGCGGCGCTCAGAGGACCCGATGGACGGAGGGCGCTGGAGGTGGTGCCTCGGGTGCAGCCCTGGTGGCTGGGTGCTGGGTGGTAGGGGTGGGGGTTGGGGTGATGGGGGAGGTTAGACCATTGAAATATTGATTGATTGATGTTGATTGGCTGATTGATGGACATTTCAGATATTTGAGATTGGAACCGGAAGGAACATTGAGTATTGAAAGTTTGATGGAAGGTTCAGAAATTTTGGTTGTGAAGTCAGGGTTGGAGGGTTTTAGCATTGAACATCATTGAACTAACGGAGATCGCCATGTGTTCCAGGAAAAGCATCTTGCAAAGCAAGGTTTGCGAGTTCACATTGGTTCATTTTAGGCCTAAAGGGGGTGGATCGGATGTAGACAATCTCAGTGCACTGTACTTGTGACTTTGCAGAAAGAAGCACATTTGCCGATGTTTTCCCCCCTTCTTGTGCAGCCCACCTGTACCCAACACCAAGGAAAAACTGCTGAAGCGTGGTGTTGGTGGAGCCCCTGCAGGTGCCAAAGACCTTTGGCCACATCTGCAGGCAGTTGCTGAACATGGGTGTAGTGCCCGTTAGTTCCATGGTGCCTGGTGTGGGATTTGGGATTGATGCTGGAGGTCTGATTTTGTGGTGATTTGTGGTGACCTGGCTTCATAGAGTACTGATGAATACTGTAGGGTACACTGAGCCTGTTCTGCTTGGATAGGTGCAATATTTGCAACAGTGATTGTTCATGTCCTATCGAATGCTGTCAGAATGAATAGGAATTCAGCATTTTTCAAGGATGAGGCAGCACATCCAGCCCAGCTGGTGGCTCCAGGCTTTGAGAATAGCAGCCAGACATGTTAACAGTATCCGCACGGTTTGTCAGTCGCCATGGACCCGCAAAAGGGTTGGTGCCATGCGGACAATGCGTGTGGAAAGGGATGCCATTTATTCGTTGGATATCCTCAGCTCCGCCTAAGTGGTGGAGAAATGGCTGGCCACGGGAACGTCCCGGAAGCATCGCTGAGGCGGAGCTGCTGTCGCAGTTGGGATGTTTGCTGAAGCCACGCACACCTCTTGCGGAGCTTTTTCGGAGATTCCCGGCGCCAGAAGGATGGGGTGGACACTATTTGGAGCCAGATTTATCAGTGCATGGAGTGCTTCAGAACAATGCAGCCCTTTTTGTTGAATATGACGGATATTGGAGGCACAGGGAGGTGGAAGGTGTTTCAGCCGACAGGAGGAAGAATGCTGCATTGTTGGCGTATGCTCCTCCAGGTTCCTTGGTGGTTCGGATTAGCCACGCAGCAAGTGGCTACAGAGAAGGCGGTGTCCTTTGGATAGCCGTGGGACAATGGCGTTCAGGTGACCAGAAGTCCATTTGGAAGGCTTTGAAAGTTGTTTTGGTAGAACTAATCACCCAATTTCATGGAACTTTGAGGCCGGATGTGGCAAAACGCCTACAGACCCATGCAGACAAGGACTTCATGCCAGTTCCTTTGGGAGCAGAGAAGTTTGTTCGTTCAGCTGCGGTTGTGGCAGGTGGAAGCACACCTAAAGAGATATCTGACTTTTGGGCTAGCCATGGATTGGATGTGGCCAGCCAAGAGCTTGGAAAGCCACACATGTATAAACCCCACATTGCAGTTGAGAAGCACTTGAGGCCATGCTTCAGATGGCTTATCAGCCTTGGCCTCACAAAATGTGAGATAGTAAGGATCATTTCCACTTTTCCGCAAGTACTGAGTTGCAGAATCGAGCAAAACTTGAAACCAACAGTGCAGTGGATGCTGGACTTGGGTTTGACCAATGCCCACGTTGCAAAGGTGATTTCTATTTCTCCGCAAGTCCTTGGGTACAGCATCGAGAAGAACTTGAAGCCAACTGTGCAGTGGATGCTGGACTTGGGTTTGACCAATGCCCAAGTTGTAAAGGTCGTTTCTGCTTCTCCACAAGTCCTTGGTTGTAGCATCGAACAGAACTTGAAGCCAACAGTGCAGTGGATGCTGGACTTGGGTTTGACCAATGCCCAAGTTGCAAAGGTCGTTTCTAATTATCCGCAAGTCCTTGGGTACAGCATCGAGCAGAACTTGAAACCAACTGTGCAGTGGATGCTGGACTTGGGCTTGACCAATGCCCAAGTTGTAAAGGTCGTTTCTGCTTCTCCACAAGTCCTTGGTTGTAGCATCGAACAGAACTTGAAGCCAACAGTGCAGTGGATGCTGGACTTGGGTTTGAAGAAGGCCCAAGTTGCACAGGTCGTTTCTGTTTCTCCGCAAATCCTTTGTTACAGCATCGAGAAGAACTTGAAGCCAACTGTGCAGTGGATGCTGGACTTGGGTTTGAACAATGCCCAAGTTGCAAAGGTCGTTTCTGCTTCTCCACAAGTCCTTGGTTGTAGCATCGAACAGAACTTGAAGCCAACTGTGCAGTGGATGCTGGACTTGGGTTTGACCAAGGCCAAAGTTGCACAGGTCGTTTCTTTTTCTCCGCAAATCCTTGGGTACAGCATCGAGAAGAACTTGAAGTCAACAGTGCAGTGGATGCTGGACTTGGGTTTGACCAATGCCCAAGTTGCAAAGGTCGTTTCTAATTATCCGCAAGTCCTTGGGTACAGCATCGAGCAGAACTTGAAACCAACTGTGCAGTGGATGCTGGACTTGGGTTTGACCAATGCCCAAGTTGTAAAGGTCGTTTCTGCTTCTCCACAAGTCCTTGGTTGTAGCATCGAACAGAACTTGAAGCCAACTGTGCAGTGGATGCTGGACTTGGGTTTGACCAATGCCCAAGTTGCAAAGGTCGTTTCTGTTTCTCCGCAAATCCTTTGTTACAGCATCGAGAAGAACTTGAAACCAACTGTGCAGTGGATGCTGGACTTGGGTTTGACCAATGCCCAAGTTGGAAAGGTCGTTTCTGCTTCTCCACAAGTCCTTGGTTGTAGCATCGAACAGAACTTGAAGCCAACTGTGCAGTGGATGCTGGACTTGGGTTTGAAGAAGGCACAGGTTGCGAAAATCATCTCAGGTTTCCCACAAGTCCTTGGGTACAGCATCGAGAAGAACTTGAAGCCAACTGTGCAGTGGATGCTGGACTTGGGTTTGAAGAAGGCACAGGTTGCGAAAATCATCTCAGGTTTCCCACAAGTCCTTGGGTCCAGCATCGAGCAGAACTTGAAGCCAACTGTGCAGTGGATGCTGGACTTGGGTTTGAACAATGCCCAAGTTGCAAAGGTCGTTTCTGCTTCTCCGCAAGTCCTTGGTTGTAGCACCGAACAGAACTTGAAGCCAACTGTGCAGTGGATGCTGGACTTGGGTTTGAACAAGGCACAAGTTAACAAGGTAATTTCAGTTTTTCCACAATTGCTTGGCTGCAGTGTAGAAAAAAACCTGCAAGTGAAATGGAACCTACTGAGATGTTTCCTGTGCAACCACTGTGTTTTGGAAGTAGTCGCTTCTTTCCCACCAATCTTTGGATACAAGCTTGACAGACTTCGCTCCCGGATAGAGTGCCTTGACGATCAAGGCAAGATTCGAAAGCTTGCCAGTGCAATGCCTCTGTCGCAGGCTGACTTTGATCGGCGATTTGGCTCGGCGTGCCCAAAATCATCCAGGGTGCATGATGGGACTCAATTGAGTGTATGGTATCCTGACCAATTCAACGTCATAGTCATACTATGTTGATGCTACGGTTTTTCCGGAGTAGGCGTCCAGGTGAAATCTGTAATATTTCCTGAATAAAATGGGAGGGGCGACGGAAACGTGGGCTGATCCAAAGTATAAAAAGGCCAGCGACTAATCTACTCTGGAAGCCTTGGAAACAGAGTTGAATACAGCAAAATGATCCACAATCCACACTGCAACTACAGCATAGAGATAGACTCATCATAGACAATCTACCTCGCATGTGATTCAAAGGCAATCAGATTGAAGGACATGGGCATGCATCACCAGCTCCTATTCCACAAGCAAGAGTTGTTCTTTGACTCCTTATCCAGTCGCAAGCTAAACGTGCATGTTGCCAGATCCAAACACTGCACCTGGGTTGATTCTGGGCTGTTGTATTCAAGATTGGATCTTCAATCCGACAGTAATTCTGGACCCAGCTGAACAAACTTGTCCAGAAATGCTTCAATCAATATCAGATTGTAAATGTATTTGCAGGTTGACTAAGTGTCCTTGTGCCCGCCATTGGCCCAAAACGACATCATAGCGTCACTGAGCCATCAAACAGGTGGTGCTTGTGACCACCATGAACGACGAGGGAAAACAGGATCTTGGAGACTTGCCAGTTTACTCTCCGATGCTCGTCAGCAAGTAACATCAAGTAACGAGTTGTCGAGTCGGTGTCCAGGTTTGGAATTCGAGGCCTGGACCCTATAATCGTATCATAAAACCCTATAAAGCTGGGAATTTCGAGCCATAAGTGACGACCATAATGACCATAATCGTATCCAACCAATTTGAAAGCCGTTCCGCCTCTGGCAGAGTTTGGGAAAGGGTTGCGCATGAGCCAAGGCTCTACACCAGCTCCAAAGCACTTGGCCACTTGGGCGTCAATATTTTTCCGGAGGAACCCTTTGGCCGATGGACGTATCTCTTGGAAGCTTGGTTGGAACTTGGACCATTCGAACATCGAATATGGTGAAGAAATGTGAAGAACGGGTCTGCAAGTCTGGCACAAAGCTGAGAACGAGGCCAAAAAATAGATTTCATTGGCAAATTCTTCTTTTATAATGTTTTATTTGATTGTAGATGTACCTAGATGTAAATAGCTACTTCTTTCTGGCATGCCGGCCTCCTTGCCCCTACCTTTCCCAAGGACCCCGGCAGCATGTTCTTCGAGCTGATTCCCAGCAACAGCAGCCGTGGCATGGCATCCGCCATCCCCGCCTGGGAAGCCGAAGTGGGCAGCCGCTACGAGTTGCTGGTCACGTCCTACAGCGGCCTGTGCCGCTGTAGGACGGGCGACACGGTGCGGGTGCATGCCATGTACGGCAAGATGCCAGTGGTGTCGTTGGAGCCCAGCTGATGTGGTGGGAAACAACATCTTGATGATGGTTGGATGCTATACATTTGGCTTCCTGCGGATGAAAGATGGATGGACAACAGTTGACCTGAGGAAGGGGGAGTATCCTGCTTGGATTCCTGTAGACAAAGCAGCAGGCCATGATCTACAGAGGGAGCGTTCCCTCGGACCACCAATTCACAAGATTGCTTCAGAAAGGACCAAGAAACCTCGGAGGTCAATCTGCAAAGCAGCACTGCCACCTGACGCCTAACGTGATATCTACCGATTATCTGCCTACCATTGCGAAGGAGCTGAACGTGGCAGAAATCAATGTCTTGCCGGGGACAACCCCAGCTCCAAACTTTGTTTCACCGGCCTAGCGCTTATCTGGGCACAGACACCTTGAGAGCGCAAATCAAATCTTCCACATGCCCCTGGTGGCCATTGGCTGGGCGAGACATTGAATTATTTGGAAACAAGTGCGCAGTCCGCGAAGCTACCTCTGCGCGTACTACAGTAGTACCTTTGTTCCCAGCACGACATGTTTTATAGTCAATCTGTCCAGAGTTTCTGCCTCACGGGTTCGCCAGAGCATTCAAATCTTGGAGTTTCAAATTCTTGACTTAACTATCTCAACTCTTCTATTCATGGAATGATGGCAAGTGTCTCAATGACTACTCATACCTTTATTTCTTTCTGGCATCCATGGCATCAGGGGCAAGTCTGTTTTGATCCACGTTAGATCCTTTCCTTGCACCTGTTTCGCAGCCGCTTGAGATCTTCAAACGAAGAGCAACCAGTGAAGGCGAAGCCACAGAACCTTAGATCTCAGTGCTGTGATGCAGCCATCCTGATGCCATCCTGAGTAATTTGTTTGATGATGTTTGATGTAACCTGCTGGTGGACACGCCCTTTGAAATCCACCAGCCCAAAAAGCAGAAGCCCAGCATGAAATCCGGCTAGAGATATGGCGTTCAGCCAGTGACAAACGCCAGGAAGGGTCCACCATCCCATCTGTTTTGCCCATGGCTTGTGGCCCGTGATGACACCAACCCTTGAACTAGTCGGGACAGCCAAGTGCAGCAGCATTGCACCTAGCAGCCGCGATGCGTAATCTGAACATAGTCTTCCAAGGTTCAGGCGCGGGACCCAAGTTCAAATGGAGTGTGACGCATCTTCCAGCAGGTTTCCAAGAGGTTCTTATCAGAGCTGCGTTCCTGGAGTGATGCGTTTTAACAGATTCCGTTGCTATGCATTGTGGTCACAAAATGGCATACATTTTTTATACATGTTTTTTCCATGTGAGCCAGGGGGGAGGGCAATCAGGACATACACCCATAGGCCCATAGTGGTTCAATTTATTCAATTTGTTTTCCAAAACGAGCCATGGGACACATCGATTTTCTTGTTCATTTGCATCGCCGTGTTCCAAAGCCGAGTTCGTTTCATATTTTGTAATAAGATGGAAAAAAACGGGATATAAAGGAAATTGTCCTTACTTGGACAGTTACTTTCTGATGGATATGCGAACTTATCCCCCAACCCCCCGGCCATTACCCGCCAGGTGTGCCTCAGCGTTTGCTATGCCCTGGCCTGAGCTGTGCTCTCGGGAAAAGTCATGAAACATCTAGAAAAACACCAGACAATTGTCGCACATCATGATAAAATATGATAAATATATACGTGTATATAAATAAACATCATCAGAGAATAACACTCATCATCTTAGTGACTAAATGACTTTGATTTCCGTGGATTGGGACCCTTCTCAAGGAGCTTGGACGACCTCGGCCTCAGCAGTGACTCCGAACTGACAGGTTTCTTCGGAGTCCGGGGATGGTGGTGCTGCAACGGATCGATGTCTGATTTTTTTTTTCTTGTGTGTGTGTGTGTCAGCTCATTTACTCTGAATAATTATAGAATATTATAGACTCATAATGACTTATAGATGTTCATGATCATTAAATATTCCTCAAGATCCTCAGAGAAGTTCTCAGGTTGCCTCTGTTGACAAATGTTGACAAGTCACCTGCAGATTTGTCCAGCTGACCTCGTGAAGGCGATGTCCACCACCAGGAATCCGAGAACTCGGACGGTGACTTCAAGGAGTCACTTGGTCGGATCGCTGCGCCTCGGGCCTTGGATCTTGGGTCTTCTCCGGCACAGTGGCACTGATTCTGCCTTGAAATGACATAGGAAAGTGGACCCTGAATATCAAGTTTGCTTTTTCTTCGGAGAATCTGTAGACACGCGCTAGGTTTCTGCTGCACAAATTGCCCTGCAGTTGCGAACATCAAGCATTGGATTCGCCCCAGGTGTTTCGGGACCTAGAAAGCAACATTCTCCCCAAAAAGACTTAAACAATACCCAAACCAGAGGCAATCCCATCATATTCCATCGCTTGTGCCATGATCATTGACCTCTGCATCTCAATTATTTTCAGACCCAACAAAATGGTTCAAATCAATTCAAATCAGAAGATTTGGCCACCAATTAGTAACCCAGATCTCATAGATTCTTCCCAAGACACCCGTGAGGTTCGCCAAGAGCCTGGGTGTGGACGCGGAAGATGGAGATCTGCTTTGGGTGGCCAAAGAGGCCCATCATGGGATGATCAACTGAGTCATACAAGAATTCCCAAAAGTTGGATATGAAAAATAATCAACCAAGTCACAGTTGCATGAATAGACCCCGGTTAACAGGAATAGTTGGAGTATTGCACCAGTTTTAGTCAGCAATATCTACTTTTCACAAGCCATGGCCCCGCCATGGCCCCGCCATGGCCCTGCCATTGAGGCCTTTGAAGCGCCATTACCCTCTGGTTGGTCCGAACATTTGGATCCGGAAGGGCGCGTCTACTTCTTCAGCCAGGTGGGGATGGTTGAAGTGGCGGGTGTGCCGGATATGAAACCGTTGATGAAACCCTTGGCACACCTTTTTTTTGAGATGATCAACAGTTGTTGCATCTTTTGGCCTTTTGGATCTGAAATTGATCAGGAAGTCATGTTCGAGACCTGGCTATAAGCCTATAAGCCCATGTACCATTTGGGCTGATTGGACCGTGTTGAGCATGTCGTGACCGCTGGAAGGTTACGCAGCAGAGCAGCTGGTCTCATCCGATGGTGCGACCCAAGGGGTTTTAGAAAAAACTTTTTTCTTCTTGTTTTTTTTGATGATCATCTTTTGGATGACCATCCCACTTGAAAACTGGCTAGCAATCATAGTTCTATAATTCTATGGTGTTCTATATTATATAATTACATGACCAGTCATGATTCATCAGTATAGTATACATCATATCAGTTGTATGTGCTTTACGGCAATCCTTACGCCAACCAAACGCTTGCAAAGGACCCTAGGATAGCCGACGCCAGGATGATGTTTTCCGTGAGCTGATCCAGCTCATCAAATCCGTGAGGAGCTGGAGCCTGCCATGGCTAGATGTGTTGGTTTCCCTAGGAGGATGGGAATTTTGGATATCAAACACCTAAGCATGCAGCACCACCACGCCTGCAGGAGGCTAGACCCACCCGAGGCCAGCGTCATGGAGGCAGTGGGAGACCCAAACTGTTCCAAGACCCAAACTGTTCCAGTCCAGTGCCACATGATGGGTTGATCTGAAGGTACCCAAAACTACATCAAATCCAGTGGTGTCTCATGATTTTCATTGGTTTAAAATGCTTGAACATCATATTCCCCATCATGCCCATGCCGATGAATTGGAGTAAATCTCCATCAAACTGGGCGCCGAGGTGCAATCTCACTTGCAAAGTACCCACGACCGGGCCACCGCAGCTCTAGAGGGCTGGAGTGGGTCCCTTGCTCAGCACTGGAAAGTTGTCCCAGGCCAGGGGTCTGAAGATGGGAATTTACCGCCATGTTGAACCACTGGAGTTGGGTAGCAGTGCCTTCCCTTGCTTAGGCCATACATGGCGGAGGATGGGGAGTATTTCTGCAATTTCCAGCAGGGAGTCAGAGCGGGCCTCAGTAGACACTCACTTTCGAAGAGAACGGTTTCATTTTTTTACAGTTACGAGTGGAAGAACCGTCTCCAAGGTACATGGCACAACCCAGTGCAGGAATGGCAGACCGAACTGGCGGTGCGGCAGCAGGCGCTGTGGGATCAACATCACCCACTGAAAGTGCCCCCCATGTGTGAAGTGTTCCCAGCAGATCAGGTGCTTCACCGATGCTTGCTCCAAGGCTTTGCAAAGGCCTGGAATCAGCACAGTTTTTTTTGGAGCAGTGCGAGGTGTGGGATCTGGATTTGCATAAGGTTTTGATCTGATACTCAGTCATATAGTACATCTATATGGTTTATATATGTTTATATAACATAGTTGATATATATATACATACTTATGTGTTTATTTATTTGTTTATTCATTGGACTGGTTTAAGGGAACATTTACAGGAATCCATGGCTTTTACCATCAAATATAGAGGTTTCCTGTAATTTTCCCCTCAAACCAATCCAATGATATATGTATGTATAGATAGTCTATCTCTCTCTCTCTCTATATATATCTCTCTCTCTCTCTCTCTATCTCTCTATATTTCTGTATCTCTATCTCTCTACCTACCTACCTAGCTAGCTAGCTAGCTAGCTAGCTATCTACCTACCCACCCACCTAGCCAGCTCTCTATCTCTATATCTCTCTATATATCTCTATACTATCTCTATACTATCTCTATACTATCTCTATACTATCTCTATACTATCTCTATACTATCTCTATAATATCTCATATCTCTATAATATCTCTATAATATATCTATGATATCTCTATAATATCTCTATAATATCTCTATAATATATCTATAATATATATATATATATTTGTCTGTCTATCTTATCTTATCTTATCCTATCTTATCTTATCTATCTAATCTTACCTATCTAATCTTATGAACCTAATCTTATGAATCTAATCTTATCCATCTAATCTTATCTAATCTTATCTAATCTTATCTAATCTTATCTAATCTTATCAGTCTAATCTTATCAATCTAATCTAATCTAATCGAATCTAATCTAATCGAATCTAATCTATCTATATGTATACAGTATGTATAGAAAACCCAGCCAATAGCCTCTGGAATCCAGGCATCCAATGGCATCTCTTCAAGTGACGCAGGATCCGAGAAGCCGCAGCCTCAGTTGCCATTTCGGCCATTCACAAACATGGTTATCATAATAATAGTAACCACAATAGTACAACAACAATACTACTACTACTACTACTACTACTATTATTATTATTACTATTATTATTATTACTATTCTGAATATTATATATATATGTATATACTGTATATACACATAGAGTAATATAGAGATTGTTGTAGTACAAAATTCAAAGCTCCATTGTTCGGGGTTGAAACCTCGGACATGGCCACCTGTGGAATGCATCCTGCCAATCCATATGGCACAACATGAATTCTTTATTGGCTCCAATGGATTGAAACAATGGTTTTCACATCCCGAATTTTTTTTGGGGTTTCTCATGTTTTTCTATGTTTTTCCATGTTTTCTTATGTTTTCCCATATTTTTCTATGTTTCCCAATGTGTTCCTATGTTTGCCAATATTTTCCTATGTTTCCCAATGTGTTCCTATGTTTTCCCATGTTTGCCTATGTTTCCCAATGTGTTCCTATGTTTGCCAATGTTTTCCTATGTTTCCTCGCCTATTTTCGCTTGGAATTGATGGCTGTGATCAAGGTCGGATGTGCTTCCCGCCTTGCCTTTGCACCTTGCAAGGTGGATGCATTGTGATAACTGATAGGGAGATCTGATAGATAAACATAGATAAATGGTAATATATTATAGCAACCCTCCATCAACAATAATAATGGGAGATATATGTTATATTACCCTATTGTTGATAAATGGGTGGACCATGTATGACCATTTGATGGGACATGGGACTATTGACAATTTATCAGATTGGTAACCACCAATCATGGGACGTATGTCACACCTGATGGGTGATACCCGTTATATTGATCTCTTGAGTGGAAAATAAGGATAAATAAGGACGCCACTTGCCACTCCACAACCAGCCCCAGTGGTCCATTGAAATCATTGAATGACTCATAGATTAATTCAAATAATGTGGCTACAGACCCTCTAAATTCAGGATGGTTTCCCCGTTCAAAAGGCAGGCTGGGTCTCCATTTGGGCCTTTAACGGGTCTCCATTTTCAGCACATCTCCACGTCTTGGTGAGCTATACTGACTGCATTCACCATTTGCAGTGGTTAACGTGGAGTGAAAGCCTAAGCACTTGCCTTCCAGTAATTCAGGTTGTGGCGAACATTTGGAAGCAATAGCCATAATGTAATATGATATGTACGGATATGTAAGATATTGATATTGTAGTACCATATATAATACTGTACATACGAAGATATGAACTATATTGTACTATAGTATTAGATATCATGCATAATTGCACAATATCACATGCTATATCAAACGGTATATGGTATAATATCAACATGTCACATCACATAGACACATAGCCGGTTTTTTAAATTGACGACGTCTCCAATTTCTCTGAAGGCCGAGTGTTGACAAGGAGGCCACGCCTCCTTCCCCATCTTCAGCGAGGTGTGGATGGAGAAAAACATGGGATGGACAGATGGTAAAACATGGTGTATATCCACTATTATCTATCTACCCCCTTCAGAAGCCATAAAGTTGTTCATTTTTGGTGGTAAATCATCTACTTGGTCTACTTTTTGTTTAAGTTTTTGTGGCTGAGATGTTCCAAAAAGGGAATGAACTCATAATTCTATGGTCACTCTAAGATATAACATGATTCTGGGAAATAATGGGATTTTGGGGTATCCAATTTTCAGAGATTGATGGGACATTGGATTCCAGAGGTATGTCGGAAACATTGAAACCCTTGGATGTTTGGATATTATTGAATGGCACGCCACGGTTGCAAGCAACGTCTTCCGCCAAAGAAGCTTTAAGCGACTCAGTCAAAGATTTATGCCAGCGTTTGGGCAGGTCCTATGCAACTTGCATATCGGCTCGTTCCATCTCTGTGGCTTGGCAGAAGGCGTAAAGATGCGTAAAGTTTCGACCCTTTGGATATCTTTGGATATTTTGGATGTTGAAACATGACCAAAGGGAAACACTATTTTGGATATTTTCTATTTCTGATGTATCTTTGGATATTTTGGATGTTCCTGAAGGAGTGTTTCCTTTCAGGAACAGATTAGGATATTGACATGAGTTCAAAACCAAGACTACCCAACCCGCAGATGGACATTTCCAGCTGAGCTATTTCTGTCAGGTCACCCCAAGGAGTCGAAGGCCCTCGCTCTGCGGAAGTGAGGCAGCAACGAGTCACAGGGTCTTGCAAGGCGAATTTCTCATGACCCAGAAAGCTAAGGCTACGTAGGCTACGATCTGGTACCATGCTGTTCCATGCTGTATGTTCTTGTGTTATCTTATGTTCTTGTATGTATTTTTCTCATTGTGTGGCTGATAAGGATGGAAGTTGCGCCAATTCAAAGCCAACTTCCATCAGGCTGCCGGCTCCAGAAATGCTTCCAAGTCAAAGATGGGTGCAGCGTGCCTCGGCTTTCAAGCTGGATCCAATTCTTTTTAGCAGGTGGATACAGATTGGTGGTTCATTTAAGCAGTTCCAAGCCTTCTTCTTCCATCATTTTTCATCATTTTCATTCATTTTCCCTATATTTTTCTGGGTTTTGCTGGTCTGAAGACTTTAATGACCAGCATTGGCCATGGAACCTGGACTCCACCATCATGGCACCAGGCAAAGTCGCTTGTCCAGCAGATCCAAGAGCGGTCGGAGCTTGGACGAGGAGGCAGGGGGAAGTCGGAAAGTCCAAAGCAAGCCATGGAGGATGACATTTTTACAGAAATTTGTGCAGCAGGCTTTTGTTGGGCGAAGTTGAGCTACAACTTCAAGGGCAGAAGTTGAGGAGTTTGATCAAGTTTGATCTGGCAGCGCCAGGCTTTCGGAATCCTGACAGAACAACCGGAGACTGCGAGGCGTGGCTTCGGTCCATTGCTCATGGGAAGAGGAAATTCTGGGCCATCTGGGGATGATCTCCTGGCTCCACATCGTGGCCGCAGCTTGTTTTCATCAGCTGATTCAAGGCTTTTAAGCAGCTCAGAGGCTCAGAGATACAAACACTTGACCTATGAGATCCCTCTCTGAGGTTGTGAGGGATTGCTGACAACTGAAGTCCGAAGACTTTGTGGATCTGTGTGAACGAAGCATGCCTTTCAAGGCAACAGGTGAGCAATACGAGTCCTTCCGTACTGCCGGTTTCCCTAGGCACCAAGTATAAAACAATCAAAGAAAGTCTCAATCAACTGTAAACATCATCAGGGGTTGGTAAATGTCCCATTTTGGGAATATAAAGGACATCACCTGAAATAGTAGCCATGGCATTGACCATATACCATTCATGGTTGGGTGATGTGACCCATGGGGACATCAGTCATGACCCATGTAATTTAACATAACTATTGAAAATGGCCCAGTCGAAATAGTGGATTTTCCCATTAAAAATGGTGGATCTTTCCATTGCAAAATGTTAGTTCACCAGAGGGTAAACATCATTGAAAAAACATCATCCATTTCCTCCATGGCACAGCTCCAGCCGCCAATCCGAAGCTATGCCGATGCCAAGCTGCGAGCTGCACAAGGTCAGGCAATGAATGGATAGGATCATTATGGATCATTGATGATTATTATGTATCTTAGTTTACTATTATTATCATTATTATCATGATTATTATAATATATTATCATCATTACTATCATTATTGTTGCCATTCCCCAAACATTCATCCTGTTTCTGATGAACTTGACACGATAATCGTTTTTCTTCTGAGTTCTGATTAGGCAATTGTGCAAATCGAACGTGCAGGATCAGGTTATATTTTTTACAAGACATTTGACATAGTTTGATGTGTTGATCTTTTTTGACATATATACGTATATATATACATATGAGAATGCACATATATAAAGATACGCATATATGATGATAGATGTACTATGTATATATATATATATGTGACATGTTATATGTATATATCATATTGATAAATAAATAAACATAAATAAATAGATGAATAAAAAAATAAATGAAAACATAAATAAATTATATTTATCACCGGTCTCTATTTTTGTATTTGATCTTTGTTTGGTGCTTGGTTCAGTTTACAACCCCATCCGTGAAGTGCCTGGTGCTTCTGGCTTCCGGAGGTTACCAGGAAAGGCTGCCG